GTATGGATCACTTGGGTTGTTACCAACATCTGGTGAAAATTTCATGTCATTAGCACCTCTAGTAATATATTTACTGAGAAAAATGGTGACGTGTTCAATAATTATTTTACCCGCTGCAAGCTCGCTAGCAGCCTCTCACCGAGGACCTATCCATGTCATCATTTACCCAGAATGCTTTGCGTGTAAATAGAATGGCTCAGTCTGTGTTAAAATATATTTTTAAAATTTTACAAAAATAAACAGCCTACAGTATTTTTACAGTCTTTGTTTTACAGTTAAAATAAATGTTTATCAAATCAAGTCTAATGTTACAACTAATCGTGGATCCCTTTAAGATTATTTTGAGTCACTATAAAAAATGAAGAAGAGTCAGAGTTGAAATAATATTGTTTCAAAAAACAAAGGCCAGAGAGTTTTCTTTGTTACAGAGTTCCCCTTTGATGTCACTTCCTGTTTCACTTTGGTTGAGCCGAGTTCAAAAGAAAATATGCCAGTTATGGGACAAAATGGGTTAAATCATGTGTATTATTCCAAGTTTCTGAACTATAAAGATGTTTTCTTTGACTTTTTATGTTTGAAGAATATGCCTGTCACAGACGCTTTAAAGTGATATTTTTTATGTTTACATCCTTTAACACAAACTGTTTTGTTCCAAGTGGCCACGGTTTGCAGTTGTATATGTTGTATATTTTTCTTTATTATTTAATTTTAACCATGTGTGTTTTCTTCGTGTGACTGTGCCTCTGTTCAGGTTCTCAGTGTTTGGCCTTGGCTCCAGGGCCTACCCACACTTCTGCGCCTTTGCCCACGCCGTGGACACATTATTTGAAGAGCTGGGGGGTGAACGCATCCTACGCATGGGGGAGGGAGATGAGCTGTGTGGCCAGGAGGAATCGTTCAGAACATGGGCCAAAAAAGTTTTTAAGGTGGGTGCGTTAGGCTGCGGCCCTTAAGGCTTGTGTCGGAACAGAAAAGTGGTACATTGCTCGCTTGTTTGGGTTTAAATCTAATTTGATTTTATGTTTCTTTTACAACTCTTAACATGACAAATCACATCAAAAGGCCCTTTTTATTCCTTTAAAATCCCCCCGTCTAGGCAGTACTTTGAGCTGTTTAGTCGTACATAACCTTGAGACGGCGGGTGCAGTTGTTCCCATCTGATTTTTAAAGTGTTAAAGTGATTCTCGGAGTTCTTTTGGTCTGCACTGAACTCTTAACGGAGCATTTGAAGAGGCGCCTCTCCTAATGGGTGCAGTTTTCCCCCATTCCCCTGTGCTGTTGCGCTTCAAGGCCGCCTGCGATGTGTTCTGTGTGGGCGACGACGTGAACATCGAGAAGGCCAACAACTCCTTGATCAGCAACGACCGCAGCTGGAAGAAAAGCAAGTTCCGCCTAACGTACACGGCTGAGGCTCCGGCCCTCACAGAAGGCAAGTACACCAAATGTTCTGTTGTCCTTGAAAGTCATTTTAAGTTACTCTAATTAAATTTTAAAAAAGAAGTTTCAAATTGGGTGTTTACTCCATGTTAGCAGATATTTTATCAGATAAAACTGTATTTTCTGTCAGGCAACCACCTACACAATCTCTAAACCTGCAGTTGTGAACATTTTGAAAGTTTTTCTTTTATTGCAACAAAACTTTTAACTAAAAGATTAAGAAGGTTGGATCACAAACAGTATCCTGTTTGGTCCAATACGTTCAGAGCAGCTGCTTGAGTTGGGCTGAACTTTCAATTACTGTCATCCAACATCTGATCCTTCACTTTTAACATCAATTACAGAAGTAATTAGAAGTTGGTTCCACAAGGAAGGAGTCTGATAAATGAAGGCTCTGCCTCCTGTTCATCAGACTCACAGCAAAGTGCTCCATTAAGAAAATATCAAACTATAAGTTTCTTATTATATAATAAAAATAGAGTTTTGTACATTAGGAGAAAATGTTTGAATTCAGTTCTGAATATGACTGGGAGCCAATGTGGATAAGCTCTCTCTCCTGGTAACATTTCTAATGTGGAAGTTCAGACATATCAAGATCAGAAACAACATCAATGTTCAGTGTTTCCCCTACCATTATACAGGCGGGGCGCCTGTATAATGCAATCTTTTTTTCTTTCTTTAAAAGAAAATGTGACAGGTGAACCCACAGCATGCTTACTACCTTATCAATAATTACTGCCTTTTTTTTTTCTTTCTCTGTGGGTGGGGGGTCAGTTTCACGCAGCTGCAGGTGAACACCTCCCGCGTCTCCTGGACTATTTTCCACCGAGGATTACGTCGTATTTTATATTTATTATATTTCTAAAAGCACTTCGCAGCATTTCCCCTGTGTGTGCACGTCACGAGCGCAACAAAACCACGACGGATCAGCTGACTGTTTTTAAAGCGAGGGGCAGCGAACATGTCCACCTGCAGCAGCGCAGCTCCAACCTGCCTGGGACTTAAAGTTCATACATCATGTCAACCCCTTTCGACGTTTACGTGTTTAAAGAGCATCAAATATCTGTAATTTATGCAAAAAAAATCAGTATTAATCACACGGATGGAGAAGAGGTGCGCTGACCGCAGCTGCGCGGGGTGGGGAGGAGGAGGAGGAGGAGGAAGGTCTTTTAAAGACGTGTCTACAGATCATCTGCTGCACACAGTTCTGATCATTTATTATCAATAATAATTTTATTGATAATTATCATGAGGAGTCATTAACTAGGATGTAGTTGGGCAATTAAATATTCATGTATGTGTAAATTTATTACCATAATTGCAGGTGAGTCAAGTAAATTTATGTTTTTATAAAACAAGTAGCCCAGCCCAATTTCCTAGGGGAAACACTGATGTTCTTAACATTACTTCTGGAGACCAAGCAAATGTCATCAAGGTGGGAGAATTTAGGTTTCATAACATTAAGCTTTCGATTCAGCAACAAACCAAGGCTACGCTGAGTGGAAAAACACTGCAGGATGCATTTAGGAAGAAACATTCAGTTCATCTCTTGCTAAGTGTTAGATGATATCATTAGCATATTGTGTAAAATATAAAACAAGCGCCAGGACCTAACGTGTGCACTTGTGCAAAATAAAAGAAACTGGATAAATAGCAGTACACTTTGAAAAATAAGGTTAGAAAAAGAATAAAAATCATTTAGATTATTGCATGAAGTGACATGAATACTTTTATGTTCGTTGCTGCTAATAGCATGCTCTGAAAGGGTTACAATTAGTATAATAGTGTTTGCAAAGCACCCACACACTAATTACCTACAGTATGTATGTCTGTGCAGCAGCTGTTTGGAAATGGTTCTGTCCGTTGTTGTTCAGTACAATATATAATAGTTACACTTTGTTACACCATCAAAACCAGCTTTCGTGCTAATTTATGTTTTAGGATTAGGTTTTAAAATTCACAAGTGGTCTTAATGTTTTTGTTTAACTTGCAGAGGGAAACAAAAGTCACTTTGGGCAGATCAGGTTGAGTGATTGAATGAATAAAGTATGGTAATGTATTTTTGCAAATTGTTTGTTTTCTGTTTGCCTTATAGCTTTATACAATATTCACAAGAAGAAAGTTTTTGGAGCAAAGATGATAGAATCCCAAAACTTACAAAGTCCCAAATCCAAGTAAGTATGTCTGCACTAGATACCTCTTTTAACAAAGAAATAAATTTAAATCATACATGTCAACCTCTTCGGACGTTTACCCATATAAAAAGCCTCAAAAATCTGTAAATTTTGCAAAAAAATCCGTGCAACTCGCACCCGCCCGGGGTGGGGGGGGGGTTTCGGCCGCGGAAATGAAAGTGCCTGCAGCAAAGCAGGAGGAAAGGAGAGCGGACAAATCAAAACCTATTTCTTGTGGCAGAACAGGTTGGAAGATTACGGAGTCCACGAGGAGACACGGGTGATTTTTTTTCTTTTGCGTTCCTTTGCGTTACCTCGCAATACTTTTGCGTTACCTCGCAATACCTTTGCGTTCCCTCGCAATACTTTTGCGTTACCTCGCAATACTTTTGCGTTCCCTCGCAATACCTTTGCGTTCCCTCGCAATACTTTTGCGTTACCTCGCAATACTTTTGCGTTACCTCGCAATACTTTTGCGTTACCTCGCAATACCTTTGCGTTCCCTCGCAAAACTTTTGCGTTACCTCGCAATTTTGTTTTGCGTTCCCACACAAAAGATTGTTTTGCATATGAACTGAATTAAATCAGACTTTTATTTTGAAATATCCAGTTACCAAAACAGGATGTGTCACCACAAGTTCCTGAAATTGACATTGATGTTGCGTGGCTGCACTGTGTTAAAATATCGGGATATGACATACTTCCATGCGTGGCTGTGTGATATATTCATTCTGAAGCTGAATTAAAGCAGTAGGCTAACTCGCTAACGGTGAACATGTGAGTTTATTAATAAACCGGCAGCACAACAGTGATAAACTACTTTTGCCAGGGAACGCAAAAGGTATTGCGTGGGAACGCAAAAGAAAAATATCTCCCATGTCCCCTCGCGGACTCCGTAGAAGATGGCTGTTTGATGTTATTTGTTGTTTTTTTAAATCATCCTACAGGCTAGATAAAGGTTATATGTCAGATAAATTAGAAAATGAGGTTTTGAAAAAATCTGTAAGACTTGAAAAAATCCGTGAGATTGTTCTATACGTCCGTATACTGTACCTGCAAAATGATGTAAAATCCTTATAACGTACGGACAATCAGTACAAGTTGACATGTATGTTATATTAAAATGTGCATCCATTCATTCTGTTCGCACTGATGTGACATGTGAACTGAATTAAACAGGCTAAATGTTTTATCCTCATCTTTTCTCATAAATTTCTATTTTTTTAGTCGCTCCACCATATTAGTGCGGCTCCACACAAACAACCACGACAGCCTGAGCTACAAGCCCGGCGACCATCTGGGCATCTTCCCTGGCAACCACGAGGACCTGGTAACGGCGCTCATAGACAAACTGGAGGATGCTTCACCTGTCAATCAAATCATCAAAGTGGAGTTCCTGGAAGAGAGGAACACTGCCCTGGGTGGGTGATGTTATGAGCAACGTCACGCCGCTGTGTGTGAATACAGTGGGCGTGTAATCAGGAGGGCTGCTGCTCAAAACCTGGGCACAGTGTCAAAATGAAAATGTTAATAAGATACAGTTTCTCTTGCCTCAGCAGACATTGCAAAGTCACACTTACTCAAGGTATCTCTGCCCAGAGATTTCTCTCCAGTGTGGCTGCTTATTGGCAGTTGTGGTGACACTGAATGATGCAACCGTGATATTCCCCGGGACTGTGAAGAATGTGTTTTTTATTTATTTATTTTTCTTGCCCGAACACAGTCTGTGGGCTTGATCAGAATTTTCCCTGACAAACACAGCCGATCTTGATGGGGTTTACTGCCTTCTTTTGTGAAATGTTTTTTTTTTTCCTGTTTCCAACAGCAACCACCCTGCACTGAAGCACACAATCTCTTTTAGTTTAACATTTATACAGCCAGTAAAGAAGCAATAATTGAAGCTTTTATCAACACATAGAAATTATAGCCACTAGGGATGTCCCGATACCACTTTTTCACTTCCGATACGATACCGATATTACAACTTTGAGAATTGTC